AATTTGTTTTGTTTCCGGCAGCTTGAAGATCATGAGTATAAACCTTTAGATCCTAAAGATATACGTCTTCCACCCCCAATGCCCCCCAGTGAGAGACTACTGGCTGCGGTTGAGGCATTTTATAGTCCACCATCTCATGACAGGCCTAGAAACAGGTAAGAGTAGGTGTAGCTAACAACATGGTAAGGAAAATGCCCTAAGAAGCTGTCTCAAACCACGAAGTGCCTCTCTCTTCCTTCACCTGTGTCTTGGTTCTTCTAATGCTGAAATGAGTGCTCTTGTTGTATTTTAAACTGCACACGCTGCTTGATCTTACACTGAGATCTGTGAGACCTTTTTGCCTAGGCCTTTTGTTCCCTACAAAATCTAGCGGAAATCCTGAACGTCTCCGTTGCTCAAAACGGAATTTTACAGATGTTGGTTCTATGTGTGGTTGATTTATTGCAGTGAAGGCTGGGAGCAGAATGGACTGTATGAATTCTTCAGAGCTAAAATGAGAGCGAGGCGGAGAAAAGGTCAGGAGAAGAGAAATAGGTGAGAGATCCTGTCTGCTGATTTTTGATGCATGCTGTTTGTTTGGAAGGTGCTATGAATAACTTGGGCTAAATGCAGAGGGAAAGTCTGTTCAGCAACATCCTGATGGAATAACTGAGTTTTAACTTGCTGGAATTTCCAGAAAATAGTTTTTGCCATGCTCAATTTTTCACTGAATTGGCTGTAGAAGCACAGTGCTTGCATGTAATTTGAATTTGATCAGAAGTATAGTTGCATTTGTTGTGCTTCCCCCAGGAGTTTCACTGGAGTTTCTCTGCTTTTATCTGCGCAGTGGGCCTTCTCGGTCTCGCAGTCGGTCTAAAAGCCGAGGTCGCTCATCCTCCCGGTCCAATTCACGATCTTCAAAATCCTCTGGCTCCTATTCGAGGTCACGATCTCGCTCTTGCTCTCGATCACGCTCCTATTCACGCTCTCAGTCCAGGTAGAGTGCGACGGGCTGAATCGTGGGAACTGAGGGGTGGGAAAAACCCAGCCCTCAGGGCTGAGCAAGGAGCCCTGGATGTTGCTCTGGTAACTTGTGCGTCTGATCTGGTGTGCTCTCCAGGAGCCGGAGCAGGTCCCGCTCTTCTCATAGCCGTTCGCGATCACGGTCACGATCAAGATCAAAATCATACTCGCCAGGAAGGCGACGCCGGTCCCGGTCTCGCAGCCCCACTCCTCCGTAAGCTTTTGTTTATTCCTCTTTTTACCTGGATGGTTTGGAAAAGTACTAAAGAAGGGTGCTTTCTTATAAGCTGGGCATATTAAGCATTTCAACAAATAGTAGAAAAGAAGATTTAGAAACAATTTATACGCTATATGTGCTTATAGAGAGAATATTACTTTGTTGTGGTAGCTTTTTGTTACGATAAAACACTCTGCAACTATGAAGGCCTCGTATGCCTTCCTAGGAAGCAAGAGGAATCCTCTGAGTACAGTCTGTGTTAGGAAGACCATAGTGTTTGATTGCCCTTGTGCTGAGAAGCAGTTGGGGTGTTTCTGGCACCTTTATAACGCCGTAATCTAATAGCTTAATAAAACAATAGTTTAATAGAGTGGATGGGATTATTATGTTAATGTTTAACAGAATATAAATGACTTTGCGTCAGAACAGTATCAGTTTGTTAATTTGTTCTTTTTATTTCCTTAGTTCTTCTGCTGGTTTGGGCTCTAGTTCTGGGCCTCCTATACCAGAATCAAGACTTGGAGAAGAAAATAAAGGCCATCAAATGCTAGTGAAAATGGGTAAGATGCTGTTCTGGAGTCTTGCACAAGGCGGGAAACAGTCAGGCACCCAACTCTCAGACGCAGTTAATTAATGCGTGTTCATAAGTAATTTATCCCTTGGTATTCCAAGGTCAGTGTAAGAATGGTCAGAGATACAAGTATATAGGACATGGAGCAGTGGTGATAGTCGCCTTTCTGAGAAGGATGTGGAAGGCAGGAACGTGAGTTTGGCATCAAATAGAACTCGCGGCCCCAAGGCGTTTGGTGTAGGTCAGCAGCGTTCCCTGGACAGGTTGGGTTTGTGCTGGCTTTCCCCTTGTGCTCTGAAAAGTTTTTAGGGGTTGTGCTGATGTTTGTCAGCTCCCAGAATCTGCAGATTAATGCTTTTGAAATAAATGGGACGGTTCGCATGTTGTTTTGGGCTGTCTGTTACCATCCTGCTGTATCAAATTGACATTTTGGAAAGAATCAAAGCTTCAATGTCTATCTGTCTTCAGAATTCTAGTAATAAAATAGTTACAAGGTGGGAATGTTGTGTCCTTCCTGCAGGATGGAGTGGGTCTGGTGGACTGGGAGCCAAGGAACAAGGGATCCAGGATCCAATTAAAGGAGGCGATATCCGAGACAAGTGGGATCAATATAAAGGAGTGGGAGTTGCATTAGATGACCCTTATGAAAACTACCGAAGAAATAAAAGTTACTCGTTTATTGCACGCATGAAGGCCAGAGATGAATGTAAGTGAATGTTTCTCAGCAATTTAAAAAACCATGCAGGCTCGATAGCGATTTTGTCCTGTTTACTGTAGACTGCAAACCCATATCAAAAGACTAGTAACTCTTAATTCTTTCTAATATAATGGATACAGTAAACTAACAGGTAAGTAGGCACATACTGTCATTAATCCAGCATATTTTCCTTTTCAGAGGTTGTGTCGTATTCTAATTTCTGAAACAGTGTCGTATTCTAATTTCTGAAACAGTGTCGTATTCTAATTTCTGAAACAAGTAATTAATTAGCCTGTTCTGTGTAAGCCATTTCCTGGCTGCAATACCCAGAGCCTACGTCTTTGTATGTTACCCTTCAAAAAATAGGAGCCATCCCAATGGTAGCGGAGGGAGCCGTACCACAGGAGGGATGGGTGCCAGAGCAGGGAGGGCTTTGTGTTGAAGTTAGACCATGCATATTGTTTAGTCCACCCTAACTCTGAGTTTCCTACAACTAGTACTGTGTTCTGCTAAAGCCAGAACTGGTAATAAATGCACTGTAGTGCAGGAAGGGTTCAGAAAAAGTGGAGGTGCTTCTTAAGAGAGGAAGACAATTACCCAAATGATAGATTTTTTGCAGAGAGTCTGTGTTGTGTAGAACAACTACACTTGCCAATGACTAAAACGAGAGAGGAGACACAAAAAAAAAAGGCATGCTAAGTGAAAAGTCACTTCTGCCTCTGGCTGCAGTAGATCTGTGTAATAAAATGGGTTCAAATACAGCCCAAAAGGAAAAAAAAAAATCCTGACTAATAGAGCCCTCATTCCATGAAACACTTCAGACAGCTCAGGTAACTGCAGAATGTGTAAGAACTCTTTTCCCTATTGTTTCAGTGAAGCGTGAAACGCAAGACCCTCCACCACCCGAATAAGACTCTCTGAAGAAAGATGTCTTGCATCTTCTACAAAACATTAAACTTGTATAAATCCGGATTAAAGTCTGGAGGAAGTGACAAGTGAATTACTTTTAAAACTATGGTGAAAAATGGAAAGCTATGACATGTACTTCAACACTTGTCGTTTTAGTGTTTAAAAAAGGCCAGTCGTAACTATGACATGTCTAGCAAGTTTAAGAATTTCCATTTATTTTGAAAAATTTTTTAATTAGTTACCCATTTGATACTAGAATTAAACCCCAGTCAAGCTACCCCTGGTGCAGGATCGTGATTCAGTCATTCCTGTGGAATACAGACGTTATCTGATACGGTTATATGTCTCTAGTTCCATAATGTATGTTTATTTCTCTCAAAAGGTTAATTCTATTTGAAGTGGAGGGGTGCTGCCTTGGGATCAAGTCAGACTGATGCTGAGCAGTGTATCCTAATGTCTAAATGGGGAATGAAGCATCTAGTTCCAGTACAGGTGACCTATGAGCACTGTGCGAGCTTGTTAGAACCTACCCTACAACTTAACGCCCCTACACACCAGCTGCTGCAGTCCCAACTCTGGTCAGAACACGAGGGTTAACCGTTGTAGCTTTTCAAGCACTCTAAGGGATGTTCAATGCTTTGTAACGGAAGACATTCTTTAAGCTTTTTATATTTTTGTATATACCCTTTAATAAAAGCTAATTAGTTGAATAGAAGAGAATCCATTTTCTCTGCTCTGCAAGTTTCTAACAGTGAAATGTTCTTGGAAACTTCCTTTAATCTAAATGAGAAGAAAAAAAAACAAAATCTTTTGTAACTGTTTCCGGAGACCACCAGCTAAAGGTGTTAGGCCCTTACACTGCACTTCCATTCCCGAGGTCTGTGTGGTGGTAACCTCTGCCAGAGTCAGTCGTTTGTACAGCAGAAACCCTCTTAAAACCATTCAGTTCATATGGTGAAATACCAGTTTGTTCTAGATCTACTGTAGTTGTGGAACTGTAACTGTCTGTGAATCAGCATACGACACCTGTATGTCACCAACTTGTGAATTTTATTGTTTTGCCTTCCAATAAACACTTTTTTTTAAATAAAAATAAAACAGTGGCCCATTATTTCAGAGTAAATGGATTCCAGCACATTGACTGTAAGCCTTCCTTGTATCGAATGTATCTTAACTTTGCGTGTGTTTGGTTCTGTACTAATCTGAGAAGGTTATTTCTATATGAACACTGTTTAAATATGGCACTAAAGTCAGGATATGGTATTGTTCTACTGTGATCATATTCCTTGGGTGCTGTAGTGCAGACTTCTACCATGATCAGATGTGATCACAGATCACACAAGCTACAAGAGAAGCATGTTGATCCCTTTAGAGAGAAGTCTTGGTTTCTTTTTTGCTGAACGCTGACATAGTCTGGCTGAAGGTTCCTGCCCATCTCTGTATCATGTACATTAGTGGAAAATAAGTTATGTACAGTAAGATACAAAGTTAGTACAAATCCTTCCGATACATAGTTTATAACTTTTTGTCTGTGCAGGTTGGAAGGGTTTCTTGTTCCGGCTTGAGATCTGTAAATGTAAATTTTCCTTAAAAACTTCCAAGAGTCAAAGCATTTTTTCCTCCTGTGCTTTCCGAATTTCTTCACGTGCTTGCTCAAGGGTTAGAGGTGGGGATTTGTGATTCTTGATGTACTGCCAAAAAAAAAAAGTTCATATACAAATCTCCTTATTATGTAGATAAACACTTTCTAGTATTTAATAAACAATACATCTTCATGTAAAGATACCTGGACTTTCCTATACTGGCAACAGAAAGTAACGCTTCTGCTGTAGCGTTAGGAAGAGCCTTGCGTGTTTGAGGACAGCTACGTGCCACAGCAGGAAGCTTGTTCTTTCAAAACTATGGCCTCCACTAAGACTTTGGTCTTTTTTTACTGCATAAACTCCTGACTTGCTATTCATAGGGGCACAAGCATTATAATAGTGTCTTCTATGAAGTAATTTATTCAACGATAAGATGAACTTTGAGTAATAGGCAAAGAAAATGTTTGCTGCAAATACTAGAAGTGCTTGGAAAGGAATACACACTTATTTTACTTAGGCTGCTGTCTGTCAGAAATACCTCTTTAGCCTCTTCCAGGGTATGGTAGTGGAACATCTCATTTTCCAGTGACTCCACAAGGGACAGGTGAAGGTAGTGAATGTTTTCTACAAACTGCTGAGTCAACAGCAAGTGCTGTTTAAACATGGCATTTAAAACAAGAGCTGATGGGCTGTACGCTGTCAAGGCTGCAAGAAATGGAGGGTGGATAGATTGCAGTTGGATAGATAGGACTGAACAATCCAAGCAGGGATTAGATGCATAAAATACAGTAAAACAATAGTAAGAAATGTTTTTTTCAGTACCTTCTACTGCATCCGTGCTGACGATGTGACTGGCAACAGGAACTGGATCAATGTAACTGTTTCCTACAGGTGGGTCGAGTACTGCAGTGGTGTTTGCTGTGTACAGAGTAAAATCAGAATTATGGGGCTTGGGTGGAAAGGTGTAGTGCTACAACTCGGTTCCTCTTCAGCAGTCTCTTGGGACATTAGTGGCCCTAGAACCGCTGCAGAGCCTAACAGGGAATTCTGTCAGCAAAAAAAAAAAAAAAGCTAAAATAGTTCCATGACCGTTGCAGTTTCTTCACTCTTAAATTCACAACACGTGCCATTGTGGAAGGCATCTTTTCTAACCCTAGCCAGGGTGGAAATAAAGGCTTCAGACTAGCTCCTGTTTTCAAGCACACCCGAGTTTCTATTTTCTCCTCCTTGAAAGTGGCAAGAAGCGGCTCTTGCCACGTTTTCGTTTAAGAGCAGTAGGGAAGGAGCCAGCCCTCAGAAACAAAGGTGACGTCTGTCTTTTCTAAATGGGGCCATAGTGCCATCCCAAGAAATAAATACAATGCAAAAATGAACTCTGTGATGGGTGATCCCCTTAGTAACAACACAACAGTATTGTCTGCATAGTAAAGCTACAATAAAAATGTTGAATTCCATTTGAGAATATTACTCGGGCTTTTGCAAGCTGTCGCTAACGCTAGCTCATCCATCCAGAGTTCCTGTTGGGTTGTTCTTACAACAACCAAGGTTCCAAGTTCTTACTCTGTTGTCCAACCCAATCTTTTTTACAGATAGCAGATGAAAGTGTTGGGCTTTAAAGTTTTTAATTGAATGTCAGCTAGGAAAAGCTAGTACTGAAGCTAAGGGCTCTATCAGTGCTGACTAGGCTAGCCTATGAAATATAGAAATTGCTGGAATTGGGCAGTATCTCGTGAACTTACTCTTTGACCAGCAGTAGGTGAATGGAGGATCCACTGTCTGAGCTGCCGTTTCTTTGACAGTTACTCTGTGGACCTGGTCACGCCTCTCTCTGGCATGTACAGGTGACAATGCTGAAGATGGGCGTTTTCCAGAATATGTGCAGCTCTCAGAATGTTCCTCTGACATTTTTGATACAGATTCCCTGTCTGTTGTAGACAGAGAGCTTTCAAAGTCTTCAGAATATTCTGAATTAACAGTTCTCTCAGCATCATCAAGATAATCCTGTTTGTGTCTAGGAAAATCTGCAGAAACTCCATTTAAATGCTCAGAGATTTCAGCTTCACTCACAGTTTTTTCAATATCCCCTTCAGAAACATCATTCACACCAGTCACTGCACTTATTTTAAGAGAAGCTTGGTCCTTTTCCACCAGGGACTTATCTTTTTTTGGATTTCTGTTTGATTCTTGAGTAATTTGAATGTCTGTCCCCTGTAAAACAAAACAGAATCAACAAAATACAAACTATAATACGCCTCCATTATTCTTTGCCTGTTCTGCTGCATATCACTGAGAGTCAGTTGCTATTTTATTAGGAAATACAAATGTCACTCTTCTGTGTCACCTTGCAAACTGTGCAGTGCTGTTACATTTAGTAAGGAAAGGCAGACACTTCAGAAAAGAATTTGGTCAGGTTTCAGTAGACTGTAAAATCCTGATCTAACCCTTATAGCTAGTGAGACATGCCCACCTCAGCTAATCCATGGAAGTATTCATTTTAGCATATCTACCCTTCACCAAACAAAGTGCAGAATGGAAATATGTGCTAGTAGGGAATTTCTACTTACTTTCTGCTTTAATTCTGCTGTCTCACTGCTGATATTTGGTGCCAAATCATCAAGGCTCAAGATATTCAGTCTGAAGTCTGCAATCAAATGACATACTGTCATGAGAATTTGCATGAAAATTGCAGCACGCTTTCCCTTAGGTGAGAAAAGTGGTAAAATATAAATCAGTACATTCCTAGTTTCAAGTGTAATACTAAAAAGTAATAGCAATCGCTCTCAACCTTTAACTTAGCAGCAGCTCTTTCTAAAGTGTCCTCCTTTGCCTGTCAGTGGATCTGCTAACCCAAGTTCAATCACCCTCGATGCCCCTCATTTACACTTGTTCTCACTCAGACCCACTGATACATGAAAACTATTGTAAATCCTGTAATCGTTTTGACAACATAATTAAGGACCCAGGGAAGCATCGTCAAACTGAACCCATTAAATCAAAAGCCAAGAAAAATGCAAATATATTACACCAGAAAAAAAGAAAGAGATCAACATAATTCCTTTCATAAAGCCTTGGTTGATGTAAAATTACACCACTGGATCCTTTCAAAGTATTTGCCCATGTTTATTAGGAAATTTATCAGTAGATTATCAGTAGAATTGATGCCAACTCTACTGAGACAATATTTAGAAAACTTACCATCTGAGCTGCTGTGTGTTGAATCTTCTGCGTCAGCTGCTTTTGAAAATAATTCATCTAGTGATTTGATTTCGCTGCTGTTGCTTTCAAGTGATACTTGGCTTTGCTTGATGTTGCCTGTTTGAGGCAGAGTAATCTTTACAGTATTGTCTTTCAGGGGAAAAGACAGCAATTGAGAGCTCCTATTACGGTGTACTGACAGGTTTCTGCTGGCTGGTGAAGGTGTTGGTGAATTAACTCTACCAAAAATGTTTTTCTCTGAGTCTTTGCTAGGAAAAGAAGAGGTTTTAGATACCTCTGTCAGTGAAATTTCCTTATGAGGTGAAGGAGGTATTCCTGATGAAACTCGAGTCTTACTCTTTTGAAGAACATGAAAAAGAGATTTATATGTTACTTCACTTATTGTGTGTAGATTACTAAAAAGGAAAATAAATGGGTAAAAAAGAGTAATTTTAAAATGTGAATTGAAGCTAAATTATATAATAAGCAAGTCACAAATGCAAAAATAAAATTTACTTTCTGGTGTTATCTAAATAAAGTGACCTACCAATTAAAACATTTTCACAAAATACATAATCCAGCAAAGTCTGTACCTTTCCACCCCATTTAGAATCACTTACAACAATCCTCTGATTCTTATGTCCGCTGGAAAATTCCAAAAAGCTGTCCATCAATTCTCTCCTTTCTTCTTCATCACTATCCAAACCGAGCTGCTGTTTAACCATAACATTCATTTTAGGGCTTTGGACACTTTTCTCTTCCTTAGAGCAGGCAGTAGCATACTTCTTCAGGTACTTCTTGCCCCTTGCACTGTGTTTGTGACTGGAAGCAGATGAGAAGGATCCTTCATCCAAAGCCTTCTGGCCCAAGTCAGTGTTTTGCAATTCCATCTGCTTTTTTCGATTCATGATTTTGCTTTCTAGTTGTGCCACTTTGCTCAGAGCTGAGCACGACCGTGCGTGGGAAGTGCTACCCGGAGTGCTCTTTGCTACGTGTCTGCTCGCTGTCTGCACAGCGCTTCCCGATGTCTGGCACCGCTGGCTTCCATGTACGTTTTCGTCGCGCACCTTTAGGAATCTGCTGCAGCAGCTCGGAGCTCTTCCAGTTTTCTCCAACTCTCTGTCAACCACAGAAAGGTCACTACAGGAGTGAGGAAGGACGCTGCGCCCGGCTGTGATGGTTCTCCAATGGGGAGGATCGCCGCGTCCCTGCCGAGAAAAGGATGCAAAGAGCCCTCACAGGCGTAGGCTAGCGGCCCGGTTCAGCTCCCAGCTCCCCGAACTGAGCCCACACTCCCGCTCCCCAAGGCTCTGCCCTCGTCCCGGCCTGT